ACGAGCCCAGAGATGGGTTTTTCATATTTGCAGCGGTTACTGAAGAGCATCGCAGGATTTCTGTTGTGGTTTTTACTCCTTCTCACTGAGAAATCCTGGCATTGGCCAGGAAAAAAAAAAAAAAAAAAAAAGACTCTACGGAGTTGACACGGCTCCATAACTCTGCTGACATTAAAGGTGGGGGGAACGCAGGCAAAGCCCCAGCCAGTGCTCGCCCTATGCAAAGAGTGGAATGGAATGCAGGGGTTGGGTATGTTTCCAGATCTCTCCCTCCCCACCTGGTAACCTGGTTGGCTTTGCTTAGCAACATCCAACACAACTGCACCAAGAAGGGACCAGCCCCACCAAGGGTGGTCCTTCAACCCCTCTCAGAAGCCCACAAAGCTCCACCGCAAAAGGATCTGCCTCCTGGGGGTTTGGAGAGGTTCCTTTGCGCTCCCAGGGACATTCTTCCTGACCTGTGTTTCCACGTTCTCCTTCCGGAGCCCCCAGAGGGGAGGTTTGAGGTCAGGAAACGTGGCTGGGTTTTCCACACAGCTCTAATCCCCACTTTGCAGGTAATGCCCCCCCTCTCCTGCTAACCAAGAAGAGTCTTAACACAGCCAAGGGCAGCCTGACAGCTTCCTGGGCAGACAGCACAACTCCATAGCATTAGCTCCCCAGCCACAACACTGAATGAAATCCCAGCACATTCCTCAGGTTTACCAGGCTTGGCTGGCTCCGCCCCCACCAAACCCCTCCTCATCTACATACCACCCCGAGCTGGTCCCCGCCCTCCAGACAGGCTCAGGGGCCCACCTTCAGTTCTCAAACCTACCACTCTTGGTCCTGCCTCAGGTCCTTTGCACTAGCTGGTGCATGGCCCAGAACCTTCCCCTCTTACACACACACACACACACACACACACACACACACACACACACACCCATCTTGTCATTGTCCCTAAATCTTGACCTAAATGTCACTTCCTCATGGAGGCCTTCCCTGATTCCTTAGTCACTCTCTGTCACATTCTTTACATCAGAACGTGCAAGGAATACCTGACATATTTTGTGCATGTGCTTGTTTGCAACTGCCCCATTTGGTAGGGTCCCTGGGAGCAGAAATCAGCGTGTCTGTCTTGTCTGGTTGCCAGATTCCCGTTCCCGAGAACAGCTGGCATATTTTGGAATGAGAAGGTGGCACCCAATGGCTTTCACAAAATGAAAGAGACCAAGACACAAGCCCCTCCCCCAGAGGGGGTGGGGGATGGGAGAAACATCCCCGACAGCCCAAGGATGCAGAGCAGTGGGGTGATGGTTGTTTACGGTACTGGGGATCAAACCCAGGGGCCATCTACCACCGAGCCACAGGTCCCGAGCCCTTTTTATTTTATCTTGAGATAGGGTCTTGCTAAATTTCTGAGGGTCTCTCTAGGTTGCTGAGGCTAGCCTCTGACTTGCGATCCTATTGTCTCAGCCTCCTGAGTCACTGGGATCCCATCCCCACAGGGCCTGGTTGGGAACTGAGATTCTTGAAACAACATCGTGTCTTTGTTGCATCTCTATTTCTTTTGCCAGAAGAAATCTCAGCCTCTTGAAAGCTGTCTGCAAAACTGAATGAGGAAAGAAATTAGGGTGGGGGGTGGGGAGAAAAAAAATTAGCTGGGCCCTACAGGGAGAAATACCAATGTGGCTACTACTTTATTATGAAATTTAGGTTCCAAAATGGTTGAGGAAGACATCAAAATATCCTGAATTCTGTTATTGCCTGACTGGTGGGTTCTCATCCCTTTCATCCTGGTGGGCGTTTGGAGTCACAGAGACATCTTTAAGCCCCGGGGTAGAAAGCTTTGAGCCTTCGTGAGCCAAGAGGGCTGGCCAGGCCCTCAGCCAGGACCCTCCTTCTGGCTCAGAATTTGTGAATGGGGAAAGCAGAGGCCCTGCAGGGAGAGGCAAAGAGCCCAAGGCCACGGTTTAACAAGTTGTCACCTCACAGATCTAAAATGGCACTGAGTGTTAGACGCACCCGGGTTTTAAGTGTGCTTAAAACAGAAAAAAAGATGTCTCCAGTTCAATTAGGATACACGATGTTGATGCCTCCATGTGTCTGATGTCCAAGATACTAAAATGTGGGGGTGCGTCAACAGGTGGGCCTTAGGATGAAGGTCAAGTTCCTCCTGCTGGGTGCTGGGCTTGGGACTCACCCGCACTGAACAGATGTCCTGAGTCACCCGAGAGCAGAGCTTCCTACCCTGGTTACCACTGTCATTCGGGCTCCTCATCCAAAGTCTCCCGTCTTTGCAGTGGGGCCTCCCAGTGCACTACCGGGTGTTTAGCCGCAGGCCTGGCCTCCACCCAGCAGATGCCTATGGGCACCTCCCTGCTTTGGTGACAGTCAAGAATGTCTTCAGACATTGCCGTAGGTCTCCAGGAAGACAAAGTCTCCTTTGAGATTAGAACTTAGCCAGTCTGGGGCCTGTTGTGAGTAAGCCAAGATTGGGACAAGTTTCCAGTCTGTACTTGAGTACAAAGCCCCTTTCCCCAGAGCACCCGATGGGCCCAAGATTCTGTGGACTTGGCTGCCCTAGAGCCCTGGAGTGGAGAGCAGAAGGGGAAGAGTCACTGGCTACACTGTCCAGCCTGGGCCACCTCGGCAATGCATCCCTGAATCTGACCCTCTCCACCATATCACCCTCCTTAGAGGCTCAGTACTAGCTCAGCACTGGGCAGAGAGGGCTCTTGTCTATGGGGTGGGTAGGGGTGAGGGGGAATAGGGATTGAACCTAGGGACATTCCACCCGTGAGCTACAACCCCAGTCCCTCTTTATTTGTTATTGAGACAAGGTCTTGTTAAGTTACTGAGGCTGGCCTTGAATTTGGAATCCTCCTATCTCAGCCTTCAGGGTTGCTGAGATTATGGGTAGAGCCACCACTCTGGCATGAAAGAGCTCTTGATGTGCTTGCTGGGTGAAGGAGGAGGCCTGCAAACCCTGGGTCTCTGGCCAGGGTTCTGAGCCAGCTCCTTCCAACTCTCCTTCAGCTGCCTGTGGATCCTGGAGCAGAGCTGGCTTTGGACAGGTGATCCCGGGGACTCAGAGGGCAGAGCCTGACCAGCCCCACCAGCCAGGTGTCCACCCTGCCACTCCCACAGGCCAAGCCTCTCTCTGGCCCTGATGCTGTCCTCAACTACTCCCTGGACCACTCAGGCCAGAAGAAGGGGCTGTGTTTTCTTTCTGGGATTCAGCTGGCCTAGAGCCAGCCAGGAAAGAGGGCCACACCTCCCATCATTCACGCTGGCATTTCCATTGTCAAGAATGCCCAGAGAACAACAAGGAAAGAGGAGGCAGTGGTTTGGAATGGCCTGTTGTCACACAGCAGCTACAAAGACTCCGTGGGCCCATTTCTGAGCTCTTGGTCCGAGAATGAACCACTTGCCATCTCCCCTAGGAAACCAGCAACGAATGTCTTATTCTCCTTGTGCACAACAAAGTTCCTTTTAAAAACAATTACTGTAACTAAAAAAGAAAAAAGAAAAAATACTTAGCAGAAAATAGTCACTCACCTCTCCAAAGCCTTGCTTGATTCCCTAGAGGTTATATGTCTCTATTATTTTCAGTTCTGAGTTTTTCTGCTGGCCAAGACTGTCATGTCCTTGAATGGTRTACTCAACATCACATGGTTTTATTTTTGGGTGTGTCAATGGCAGACGGTACCCAAAGACTGCCGCTCTGTCAAGGTGGGGCTCTGGACCCCTCGCACCAGACTGCTCTTATTCGATTCCTCTCCCTTCAGCTACCTGTTTTGCTTCAGGGAAATTATTGACAACTCTGACTACTTTGTTTCCAGAACTTTCTGAGGACTCTCCCCTCCTCCTCTACAGACATGGAGGATGTCACCACTGCTGATTGTGTGCCTCCGGCTGCCCTCCCCTGTCCAGATAGACCCTCTGCCACCTGTTCAAGCTATTAACATTTAAATTTCCCACCATCCTTTGCCACCAGCTAAACTCCTAAAGGTGAAAGCCGGCAAATGTGGGTTTCACACCAGGTCATATGGACACGTGGGTGAATTCACTCAACGAGGAAGCCTGGCTCTGCCCAGGGAGACTGGGGGGTGGGGGGAGAGAGAAAGAGAGAGAGAGAGAGAGAGAGAGAGAGAGAGAGAGAGAGAGAGAGAGAGAGAGAGAGAGAGAGATGTTAGGGGGATGGGAGAACAAATCAGGGCAGAATGCTTCTCTGAGGCCCTGGGTTTCATCTTCAGCACACACACACAAAGTTATTTTAAAAAGAAGAGAGACCAAATCCGCACTCTCAGTTGGCTCAATGGTGTGGCAAAATCCACAGGGAGAAAACTCTTGAGTTCAGTAAAGCAGCACACTGCTGTGATCCAGAGGAAATGTGTGAGGGCACTAAACAGAGCAGTCAGGGAAGGCTTCCTGGAAGAGGTGACATCTCAAAAAGGCTTAAACCACAAGAAATCAGAAACTCTTCTCCCGGCTGATAGGCCCTGCAACCTTCCTCCTGATATCTCAGAAGTCCACTCCACCGATCACACGCATGTTGACCTTGAAGGCCTCCATTAGATTACCGCTGAAGACAGAGAACTCACGTCCTTACAAAGAATCCCATTACCTTTCCAGAATGTTCTGTTTGAGAGCTGCCCTGTACAAATGGGTCTCCTTTTAGTTGCTACTCTTTGATGCCCACCAAAGCCACACACAGGAGTTTTGTCTCTACTTCAGGGAGGATTTCTAGATACTTGAGTTCACCCAGCCATCTCCTCGTACAAAGCCCCCCGAGTGGGCAGGAGCGTGAGGCCACCACAGCTGTCACCGTCACTAGCAGGGAGTTACCCAACTGCTGGGCAACAAGTGTTAAGGGAACTGCCCGGCCTGACCCCTCCCCAGGTCTGGGCCATAAGATCCCAAAGCAGGGCTCAGCCCCCAGGACCCAGAGTCTCAGCCCGGGAGGTGGATGTGTGGCCTCTCCCCGTTGCCCCGAATGGGTGAGTGGACCGTACCTGTTGGAGGCAGAGGGCTCCTGTGAGGGCCAGGGCTGGCTGGAATCCCAGGAGAACTGCTGGGACGTTCCCAGGTGGTCTCTGGTCAAAGACAAAAAACAAGATCACTTTAAGAATTTCATTGCATAGAACCTGAGTCTCCCAGAGCCGCACAAGATGGTTCGAGTTGGAAATCTCAGAGGTGAGCTGACCACTGCCTTTCCTGTGGCCATGGAAGGACTTCGCTTCTGCCCACACACCTGTCCTTCATGACAACAGAGCTGCTCTTTGCTGGGGGCCTTTCTCCAAGTGGATGGATCAGAGGAGGTAGGCTTCCAGCTGGGATCCCTGAAAACATCCCTAGGAACCCCACCCTACCTGCCCCTCCACTTCTGTCCTCAGTGCGCTAAAACCTAGCCCCGGGCCCCCAGCTGCTGACTGGGCATTTCTTTCCAAACGCCCACTGTCACCTGAGAACTCCGAAGCATGCAGGAAGGAGCCCTGGTCCTGGATCTGTCGTCAGGAGCCCTCTCCCAGCTGGGGATGGATTTCCAAGGACCTTCCCGACTCTACCCTTCTGCCTTGTTTAGAACTGGGGGCCACGTATCTCCAGGGCACCTCTCCCTCTTCTGATGAGCCACACAGTCCAATCAGAAAGAGAAGTACTCCTGCAGCTCTATTATCAGGACTAACTAGACCTGTTTGGCGGTTGGGAACACAGACTTCTTACAAATTATCTGGTGATAAAAATAATATTCTCTGGGCTGGATATGGAGGCACATTCCTGTAATTCCAGTAATTTGGGAGGCTGAGGTAGGAGGATTGCCGATTCGAGGCCAGTGTGGGTAATTTAGTAAGACCCTCCCTCAAAATCAAAACAAAAAGAACTGAAGGTGTGGTTCAGTGGTAAAGGGCCCCCTGGGTTCAACCCCCCAGTACAAAAACCAACCCACCAAACAAAAATCCCCGATCCAACTTTCTCACTATATAAATTTGAAAGTTGAGGAAAACACATAGAAAAAAAGTAAGTATTGCTATAATCACATACTAGAGGTCATTGCTATCGACATTTGGTGTCTACATGTCCATTTGTTTAGAAAGCATGTTTTCATGTTTAAAATGAGATAAAAATCATACTGGACTTTTGTTTCATGTCCCAAATTTTGTGACTACCTTTCCCAAACCCCATAGCACAGAGTTGAGGCTGGAAGGATAGCAGCCACTCGGTTTGGCCTCCTACCACCAACATAACCTGGGCCAAGCTCCTTATCCTCTTAGACCCTCAGTTTCCTCCTCTGTTAAATGAGTTCAATAATGTTTCACATTTGAGAAGGTTGTTGATATAATGCCAAATGCCCACATAGAACTTTTACGTAGTTACTTATGGGTGGATATAACAAGATATAACAAAATATAAAAAAAATTAAAAAAAAGAAAAAATTTTAAAAAAATTWAAAAAAAATTCTATCACATGGGAATTTGTTTCAAACACTAAAAGCAAAACCAAAACCCTTTTGATGGCTTCTCTCAACTGGGATTTAAGAGAACTGAGTTCCTTCTCGGCAGGCTGGTGCACACCTGAAATCCCAGCGGCTCCTCCGGAGGCAGAGGCAGGAGGATCGAGAGTTCAAAGCCAGCCTCAACAACTTAGCAAGGCCCAAAGCAACTCAGAGAGACCCTGTCTCGAAATAAAAAATAAAAAGGGCTGGGAATATGGTTTAGTGGTTAAAGCACCCCTGGGTTCAATCCCTGGTACCAAAAAAAAAAAAAATAAATAAAATAAAATAAAAAAATAAACAGGGGACCTGAGGTCCTGCCTCAGCTATGCTCCTAAATTTCTGTGTAGCTCTGGGAAAGTCATACCACCTCTCTGGTCTCTGATTCTTCATTCAAAATAAAAGAGTTGGGCTAATTGGTGTATCAGGCCCCAGCACTCCTATTCTCCAGTTATAAATGGTGGTCTTTAAAACCCACTGCTTGAGCTTTGGGAAAACTGAATTTAGGGTTCCAGGGGAGGGATTAACAGTGGTAATATGATCCTCTCCTGTCACAAGGAAAACAAAACAGAATTCAAGGTGAATGAGGAAAGCATCTGGACCAAATGACCAGAAACAAGAGAGTAGCGGGGGGTCTTTGATGAGGACCAAGGCTCCCAGCAGGTGCAGGGGATCCCCTGGGAGAGGAGGGCGTGCTTCTTGGCAACAGGGCACCAAGACTGGAGAGTTTGCCCGCCTGGCACTCAAGGGTCCGGGAAAGCCTTCAAGGACAGGCCATTTATGTGCTGGGTGACCTCTAGAATCACCTACACTCTGTATTCTGTCAGCTGAACAGTGGGGATGACAACCGGACGTAAAGAGGGTTGCAATGAACGTTAAGTAGGTGGACGTGCATCCAGCCCCTAACGTTGGGCACAAGGCCACACAGAAAGAAGCCAGGCTAGAAATGGAAACACGGTGGGACTTCCATGAGCAAACCACTTCCAAAAGAGAAAGATGAGGCTGGCTCAGAGCAGGTSCTTAGCCTGCTCAAGGCCCTGGGTTCCACTCCCCAGAAAACAAACAGACACCCCCAAAACAATCAGGAAGGAGAGCTTCCCCCACAAAGCAGCCACCTGGGGCAATTAGAAATGATCCAGGTTAGCAAGTACAAGGAGAGAAGCCTTCCGAGCCTCAATGTAGAGGCCAGCTCTCCAGAGGGGTGCAGAGCCTCCTCCAGCAGCCTCCTGAACTGTTCGATGCGATACTGTACCAGCAGCTTCTCTAAATACTGCATGTCTAAAAGTCAAGCTCCGTCTTTGTGTCCCCAGTGCTTGGTGGTGGCTTCCAGGTAGTAGGGACACAAGATGGATGAATGGGTGATGGGATGGAAGGAGCAGTCAAGGCCGGCGCCTGCTACAGTCACCAGGTAAAACAGCAGAGGCCGCACATCAGCCGGTCAGTCCTCTTTTTAAAATCAGGTCAGGGACATCAGTCACCAGAGGAAAGACTGGACTCCATCAGGGGCCATGCAACAGGCTCAGCCTAGCCGGTCCATGTCCTGGCCAGACCTGTCTGGCCCAAGACACAAAGACAGCTGAGAGCCTGGAGCCTGGGGGAGCGCAGCCAGACCAGGCCTGGCCAGGCCATCTGGAGAGAGCCCCTGGGGCCCTGGCTGGGTGACCTCACTAACATCAGAACCAACCCCATTCAGATGACCATACCACCCACAGGGAGGGAGTGGGAGCCGTTTCCAAGTCTTTTCCAATAAAACACTCCCTGATCTGCTGATGATGCTTGACCAAGCCAAGGGGAGACTGAAGCAGGCTGCCCAGAGTCCAAGGAACCCTGGATGGAGGCCCTTTTGCATTCTCTGGGCTTCCATCCCCAGGGCCCTAGGTCATCCCAGGTGACCGCCTACACTCCTGCTAACAGTCACTGCCGTGAAGGCCTCGGTCCCTGTGGGAAGCAGAATGAGGTCAGGGTGGAAGGAATGAGACCCTCTTCCCACCCAACCTGAGCCACACACATTTTTTTTCCCTAATGGCAACAACTCTGCCTGGACCTTTTCCACTGAAGCCAGCGAAGCCAAGCATACACAAATGTCTGACCGCGAGTGAGACCAGCCCCAGAGAGCTGGTCAGTGCTCAGAGTCAGGGATGCTAATCCCACCCCCATCAGTGGGTGGGTGCCTGCCTGGGTTAGAAAAAGACCTGTAAAGAGAGGGTATCACTGAAAAGTTGAAAGCTGGTTGAATCTGAGCTTCAAAGCACACACTTTGAAATAATAATGATGGCCAGGCACAGGGGCTCATGCCTGTAGTCCCAGTAATTTGGGAGGCTGAGGCAGGAGGATCACAAGTTCAAAGACAACCTCAGCAACCTGTCTCAAAAATAAAGAAATGAGGGGCTGGGGTTGTGGTTCAGTGGTAGAGGGCTCGCCTAGCCTACATGAGGCACCGGGTTCGATCCTCAGCACCACATAAAAATAAAATAATGTGTCCACCTAAAACTAAAAAAAAAAAAAATACATAAATAAGTAAATATTTTTTTWAAAAAAAATAAATAAAAAAGACTGGGGATGTAGCTCCGTGGTTAAAGTCCCTTTGGGGGTCATTTCCCAGTATTGTAAGGAAGGGAGGGAAGAAAGGTGGGGAAGGGAGGGAGGAAGAAAGAAGGAAGGAAAACTTATGAAACATTTTCAAAACCGTGAGCCATGGAGAAGTTATTCATTTTAAACAGTCACTTTCAGACTTCATTTCCCCTTGTCAAGATTTCCTGCGTTAGGAGCAATGCAGGGTTAAAGTCACAAGGAACCCCTGGACTAGGCCTCTGAAGGTGGCAGGAAGGATCTGCCACAGCCCATCTTTAAGCCTTGGTGGCCCCTCTGGGGTCTCCTGCCTTGGCTGTGGCCTTGGCTGGGTGCTTACTCTCTGCTGCCCCCCGTGGCCATAGGGTGAAATAACCGCAAGCATCAAACCCAAAGGAGAAAATTTGGGGGCCTTTAGCAGTCATTGATATGAGATCCATGAAGTCCTCTCCTCTTTGTTCTGTGACATGACCCAGGGGCCACCTCCAAGTGGGCTTCCTGGACTGGGCCACCACATTTTCCCTCAGCACTTCCAGTGCCCATGATATGCCCCTTTATGGATGTGATCTCTCTCCATCCAGCCGGTCAGTGCTCCAGAGGTGGAGGTTATCTTGGGCTCTGTCCTAAAACCCTCCAGAGGAGCAGAAGGAGCTGGGGAAGTAGTTGGGTCAGAGTGGTTCAGAGACCATCCATGGGCCTCTGCATCTCTGCATGCGTCCCGGTAGCACTTCCTCTACCCCCAAGGACGGAGATGCTGCTGGGATCTGTGGGGGTCTTGCTCAGCCAGGGCTGGAGGGAAGAAGGAGCTTAGGATAGGACATTCCCCAGCCCCCGGCCCTGGAGCCAGCCTCCTCCAGGCTTGCTTCTCACCCTGTGGGCATACAGAAGATTCCTGAAGGGTCCAGTGGCACCAGGAAGAACAGCTCCATTAAATCATTACAGAGAGTCCCACTGGGGAAGCATCCTCCCAATCCAGGTCCTACGCCGGCTTCTGCAACGGTACCCTGACTCTGTTCTCACACAGCTCAGATTCCCTGG